GAAAATTGAGTAATCTGCCCCGCGCCGATAAATCGTTAACTATTAAAATTTAATCAGTTGACGAACCGTTAATATGATAATCTAATACAGATAAGCCAATTTTGCAATTGACTTATCGGTTATGGTTCGATTTTGAACAACCCTAAAACACATGTTATAACCTACTTGATAATCAATTTTGTCTTACATTTAAAATAATATTTGGAGATTATTTTAAATAAATATTAGTTCATTAAATTGACCACTTATTTCAATTTTAAACTTTAAATTTGAAAGTTTGAAAAACAAGTTTTAGGATTTTTTTTCTTTTATATATTTTCACTCATAAGATTTTAGTTGTATTTCATATCTAAATCCAATTTCAACTTCAAACTTTTTTATATTTTATTTTTCAAATTTCAAACAATTTATCCAAAGAGAGAACTACACAAATAGGACCTATTAGACAAAATAGTTATCTAAATTGGACTCAATCCAATATATTTATCTTGATTGAACTCACTGCCCAAACTATTCACCCAAGTGTCCCATTGTTCTATTCACTAAATCACTGCTTCTTCATCCTTAATATCATCCGAGTATGTACGTTTATATATATATATATTCTGATTGTATCTACATATTATTATATATTATGATGATATATCAAGAAATAATTGAGCAGTTTTTTTACTAAAATATTGTCTCTTCCTCCTTGATCCCATTATATATATGTATATATATATATACATTCTAATGGTATCAAGGTGTAACTGAATAGTGTTTTTCACTGAAGCATTTCCTATTCCTCTTTATATAATCTGATGGTATTAACCACTGAACGTGAATTAGTAGTTAAAAAAACGGGGTATGAAAGTAAGGGGCGGCCCTTTCTATATATATATTTTTTTTTTTTGGATAAAAGTGTTTTTTTTCCCATATACAAATGCCTGTGGGTCAGAGCCCAAATATGAAGAAAACCCAGTTATTGGAAGCCCAATTACCATTTCCACCAACCAAGCACATGAGTTTCCTGTCTATGGCTACTTCCATTTCCATTGACCCATTTTCTCTTCGCCTTCAATATTCGTAAGCTTTCGAACTTTTGCTCCTTTCTATTTCTCTGAGATTTGGTTTTTCTTTAAAATTGATGAGTTCTTTGACCTTTCTGTACAGATATTACTGAAGCAGTTGATGACTTGGAACTGTATTTACAATGTGGTCAGCGTCAAATTTGCAGGCTATGTCATTCAGACCTCGAATCATTCAACCTCAATTCTGCAATGACGTGAGTTTTTTTGTTTTATTTTTTTAGTCTTTCAATTTTTGTTTTTATGTGTTAGTGAATTTGGGGATACTAAAGGGAAATAGTTGCATTTGATGGCAACATCTATCTTTTTTAACTACAATCCAAGTATCTATGTTCCCCATGTAGACCTGTTTCATTGTAATTTGTTACTGAACGAGGGAGGAAAAGGGATCACCTTATAGTTAATATGCGTTTTAATATGTAGATGGTGATAGTTCGAAAAAAGCGAACAATTGATAGGTGGGGTATGAAAATATGGCCGACCACCGGTAATTGTGGGAGTAAAGTTTAGTTCATTGAATAAAGGTCCTTCACTCATCCTACAATATTTGGTTTCTATAGGTAATGATTTAGCTTTTCTAGGATTTCTATAACCAACAATTGGTATTGACTTGTTTTTTATTTTTCTGCATATCGTCAGTGTTAAATTTGTATGTAATTTTAGTAGTTGGTAATATCTTATTTTATGCAATATTAAAGGAAAATGTTGATATCTCATTTTCATAATCTTATTGTAGTGTGTGAAACATGTTTTTAGATTTATAGTTAGAACTTAGTCCATCCATGATTGTGTGACCCTTAACTTACTTCATTTATGAAGGTAAGTTGTAACTCCATCACATAACTCCCTATAGTAAAAGAAGAAGAGTTGAAACTCTTGAATTAAAGTGGGAGTTAAGGGAAGAGAGTTATGAGTGAAATGGAGTAATAAGTCACTAAGTTAACCTATAAATTGGAGTGATTTGAGTCATTCTCAACATACTGAGATTTGAGAGTTAAATTTTTAGATTAAAGACTGTAGTTGTTGTGGAGAAACGACAAGACTCCACAAGTGATCTTGTAGGAAATCACTTAGATAATTGGTGGCGGTAACATACATCGACCCTAGTAGAAGGTATGCCTAATTTTGCATAAATCTCCAAGTAATTAATTTCTTCATTGGTATCAAAGCACGATATAGATGTGTATATATTTCACCACTGTATGATTAAAATTTGATGGACAACTGTATTTCATTTGAAAAATGTTGCCTGACAAAAGATTTCTGAAAAACATGGTTAACACTCATAGTGCCTTGTTCATGCTGCAAACGTCAATAAAGTGCTTAATTGACTAATAGTAATGTGTAGGTTACAAACTTTGACATTATTCGATTGAAAGAAGTTGGCAAAAATGCTGACTTTTCACTAATGTCAGTTGTGTGAGACACATAATAAAGTTATTCCGAGTCAATACATAGTTTAGTGGTTTGTAAGGACAAAGCAAATCCCTTTTCACGAACTCTAGTAGGACATGCATTTAAATTTTCTGATAAAATGAAAGAAAGAAAGTAAAAGGAAAGAAAACTGGAAGTGTTTACAGTTGTGTCGAATTCTGTAACCTAAGAGGTCTCGATCTATTTATTACTATTGTTCTGCTCCTATTTAATTTATCCTATGAAGAAAATGTGTTACGTATAACTTGCATCATGTGTACACTTTCTAGCTGCATTTCACCTTTATTCTCCGACTTCAAATGCAGGGATGCACTAAGTTCAGACAACACATGTTTTTAGCTTGGTCCAGTATCAACCGAATCGAGATCAACCACTGCCTTACGTCACATCTCCATATGCAATGTTGTGCAGTTTTAGCTGACACAACTAAGATAGTTTCTGACAATTTTCCTGGAAACTGTGCGTTTGATTCAAAAGCTAGAACTTTCGGTAAGTTCTTCTTGCTTGGTTTGAAGATATCTTTAGAACTATTCCCTCTGTCCCAATATATGTGACACATTTCGCTTTTCGAGAGTCAAACAGTTTAAGTTTGACCGAAAATTTGCGCATGAAATCTTCAATTTTTTTGAAATGAAATTTATATATTTGTAAACTACGTAAAAAGTACTATAAGTCACAATAATTGACAATCCATAATATTTAAAACATCTATGAAAAGTTTTATTGTCAAAGATAGACCTGTTTGAATATCGAAATCCGAAATATGTGTAATCTGGTAGATGTTTTGTCATAGATTGAAATGCTGTAACTCATTTTTTGGAGGTCTCCAACATGTTTTTAATGCTGATGAATACAATTTTACCCTTACCAAAAAAAAAAATTGGGACGGAGGGAGTATTGTTTATCTCTTTTTAGGATGTAGAAATATAGTTAAATAACGTAGGATTGTTGAGTTCATCAGATATGCCTTATCTTATATATACCATCATTTGCTATCCTGCTAACTTGGAAGAGAGGAATATATATTGAATATTTATGTAACTGATGACTCCAACTAGCTTGGGGTTGCAAGTTGCAACATAGCTGATGTTGTTAATATTCTTGGGACTACTAGAATGGTACTACTAGCTGATGTGTTGGCATTTTCTTTTAATTGGATATCATATGAGATCGAGGATGGCATTATGGGAAAGAAAAAAGCAACGTCTAGCACTCCAACTACTTCTGTTCCTTTGACCTTCATAGCATCTTACAGTTATAAAATCTTCCTTATATCAGTAAGTAACCTATGCTTTGAGAAAGCATTTTATTTAGACTCCTAGTCACAGATCCCTAAATTCTTGTCATTTCCAAGTGCCTGCTTTTGTCCTCCATATTTAGCGGTTGCCGGTCGGTGCTGTCGAGAAGTCTTGAAATATGTACTGTATGTAGCATGTCAGGGTTAACAGTTTGTGTCTTTCCTCTTTAATCTCTATTCTTCTATTTGAGTTACATTAGATTTCTTCTCTTAAGCTATAAAATGGTCTAACTGCGTATTTATCCAGAACAGAACCTTTCAGACAAGCATCCCATTCGCTATTGCTGGGACGATGCCAAGTCAGGAGTGAAGATTCAGAAGGAACCTTGAGTGGCGAAAGCATCTTGCAAAATGAAGAAACACTGGCTCGAGATTTAAGGACTGCTATTAAAGAGGAGAACTATGCCCAAGCAGCAAAAATCAGGGATAGCCTCCGGCTTCTCCAGGAGAATAGTAATGCATCTGTACTAGCAGCAAATGCTCGATTTTACAATGCTTTCAAGACTGGAGATTTAGCTGCTATGCAAGCCCTCTGGTCGAGGGGTGAGAATACATGCATCGTGCACCCGGGGGTGAGTGGCATATCAGGCTATGATCTTATAATGGGAAGCTGGGAGTTCGTGTGGGCAGAATATGATTTCCCACTTGAAATAGAGATCAGAGATGTCCAGGTTCATGTTAGAGGTGATCTCGGGTACGTTACGTGCGTTGAAATGGTCAAGACAAAGGGTAGCAGCTGGGGAAAACAGTTTGCTACTAATGTGTTTGAGAAGGTTGATGGACAATGGTTCATATGTATTCACCATGCCTCTTATATTGACCTGTAAATTGTGAACGAGAGAGCTGTTTAGTGGGAGTGAGAAATCTTATATTATCATAGGTTTTGTAACCTATTATTATTCAGTCATACGACAAGCATATTTTGTTTGATCAAGCTATCGAAATCAGCTTATTAGAGAACATTTGAGTAACAAAAGTGCTTTTACATGTCAAATTATGGAAGCTTAGCCAAACTGCTTGAAAGCTTTAGCCATGATAAAGCTGGGATGGGACAAGCAAAGAGTGAAGGATCTTTTTCCATTTTAAATTTAGAATATACATCTGATTTTTCTTCTTCTGTTCAAATGTACAATTTATTCTTTCAAAAATACTTGAGCATTTAATTGTGCATAAAGATCCTGGAAAATAAAAAGATAAAATTGGAGTGTCAAATATGTATTGGATTGACCCACAACATCAAGATTATGGAAACCTGAATAACAGTAGAACCATCAACATTACCTTAGATAAAAATAAAGGAAACGAAATCCAGCCACTGTATATTCAAGAGTACTACTTTCTCTAAAACCTTTTCTACTGAGTTCATTTCTATACCTTGCGGCATGACAGTATTTCCTTACTATAAGAGAATTTACAGCTGATCAAAGACGTACAAAATGAGAGGTCGAAGATTAGACTTATTTGAACCACAGATTTTCAGTTTGCAAGATGCAATTAGGAACATGTGATGCTAAAACAGTCTCTCAGAATTCTTGCTTCATCAGCAGTTCCCTAGATCCTTCCAACAGGGGAGGGGGGTGGAGATGACACATATCTTTGAGGGACTTGTCCTTGGACTGCGGTTGAAGCCTTTGTCCCCCTCGTGGCATCTGAAGAAGCTTTCTTCTGTCCTAGCGATCCAATATCAAAGATGTCAGCTAGTTTCTGACTAGTCAGGGCAGAGACACATATGGAGAATGCTTCTAACAAAGGAACTGATGAATCAAATTCGACTGAGTAAAGTCCATTCTTGAGTGGTGCCATACTGAAGATAGGCTTGCTCCTCCGATCTCCTCCCTGTGAAGAAGCATTGGTAACCAAATATTATTCAAGAATTATCAAGCGAAGCAGCAAACAAAGTGAAATTAAGTTTGACACAAACAAGTACCTGAATCAAAAGGTTTAGAAAATCTTGGCTCCTGCAATTCTTATCCTGTTCAAGTATCTTTAGCTTGCAACCAACATCCCACCCTCCACAATCACATAATCCACCAGATCTCCATCGTTCGAGTAATGAGGAAGGAGTTCCATCATTTGGCAGGTTATGTGTACCACCAGGAAGAATGACTACAACGTCACTGTATGTTTCACAGGTCTCTCCGGGTAATTGCTGCATACCTTCTTGTTTATATTGACTTGAGTTCATAACGACAATGGCAGCAAGCTCTCTCTTTTGACAAGAATCAGGGACTTGCTTTTCCACCTGTCCACAATCAATGCTATACAAGATAGATTCCCTTTGCACAGATATACTTTTCTGCTCATGTACACTTGAGTTTTGAACTTCAGAACAAGAAATCTCCATCTGGCCAATAACTTTATAACCAAAGCCAGCACTTTTCTCTTTTGGTCCATGGCTCATCCAACCCCCACTCCTCCTTTTAATTTCATGGACTGCATAGAAAGCATAAACCAAGCTACTTCCACCCTTCCCGGACGTTGGTAACTTCTTGCCAGCTGCAACAAGAATGCCACCATCATCATCAACCACAAGTTTAAAAAATGGAACTCCATCCTTAAGTGAAAGCTGTAGAAGAGCCTGAAAAGTTGAGGGGAGATGCTTTTTCACATGAACATGTTTGCTATGGTTTTTAGTGGGCAAAGTATTGCCATTTGTGTTTCCATTAGAAAGTGGAAATGTCTCAGCTGAATGAACGCCCTTAGGCTTCAGCAATGGATCTAGGAGTCTTCTCAAAGGACTAGATCTTCCTCTGATATTAGCATTTGGCTTCTCCCGATTACTGAGATCCGCACTGGAAGAAGCTCCTGCTGGGCCAGACTTGGGGATGTTATTTGTACTATTCAATGGTGGAGCAGCCGAGGACTCCTTAAAACTGAAACTTCTGCTCATTCGACTAAGACTAAAGCTAAACCTCTTATTAGGGGATGGATGTCTTCCCTTCACCACTGCCTGCTCTGCAGTGTCCAAATCTGCTCTCTGCAAAGTCTCAGCTGGAACTCTCAATTCTACATCAGATTTATTGTGTTTCAGACATTTGGCATCAAATGAAGAGCGACTAGTTATCCTCTCATTTTGACATGGAGATGAGCATAAATCTGTTATGTCCCGAGAAATGGACAACTGGCGTTGCTTCACATGAGACTCTGTATTTGTTGCAGAGCTTGCAGGCAGAGGACATGAATGTGGAACAGCAAGCAGTTCACTAGAGAAGGAATCCAGAGAAGAACAATCAGAAAATCCTGTCCTCATCGCATCAGCTGGTTGTTCATCAAAAGATGTTCTCGATTCTGAGAATTGAGAGGCCTCCGTACTTGTTTTTGAACGATGTTTTGGAACCAAGAGAACAATATTCTTAGGTTCAGCAGCATAATTTTGGGAACTAAGGTTGTCTTCATTGTCAAATTTGATCTCGCTTTTACAATCTTGAAGACTATTTGTATGACTACAAGGAACACTGACATTCTTAATCGGTACCCAGAACAAATCTTCTTCATCTGGTTTCAGATTTTGAACAGAATCACGGTCCATGTATTTGCCAATATTTAGTTCAGAATTGCGCCTGGGCGGTGGTACCTCCTTCCTAAGACGTTGTTTCTGCTTACCATGCTTTGTGGGGCACCGTGTAATTTGCATATCCTGGATCTGAATAAACTCTGATTGGGATTGCCGCACGGATTCTGCAGGCTTTAGTTCACAAGATGGAACGCTCGGTAATGGCATTTGCTTTCTCTGAGAAGAGATGCCATAAGCTTTGGGAGGCTTAACAGCAACAAATGAAGAACTACCTGATAACGTTTTACGATGACAGCTTGCAGGAATACGTTCATTATACTTCCATTTCTCCAGACGCTCCCAATCAAGGACTCCGAAATTCAAAGCCTTTCCTTGAATATTTTTTCCCTTTTCCGCGTGCTGCAGATAACCTGGCAAATTGGACATGTACTTGACAAGCTCGTCATCTTTATTTTCCTTACTCCCTAACCAGTGGTTTTGGTGATCTCCAGAGGAGGTCAATTGTGAAACATTCTGATTGACCGTCTTGCTTAAGCCATGATGCCTGCTAATGTATGGTTTATCTTCTGTGCTTTCAACTTTATACTTATCTTTGAGCTTTGAACTTTGATTTGCTAGGGATGATTTAATCTCTTTTGCAGCACTGGAGGTTTCATGATGACGTCTAGTTTCTAGTCGGTGCCCCATTTTCAAACTTCAATTACATTCTTTTTTACTGCAAAGGGAAAACAAGGTCTTAGTATATTAGAAAGACATAAAATAAAAATCACTACAGAGACATGCTACAACATCCATTACTCAATGTTCACTAGGAAGGAATTTGAACGATCTGCCCTAGCACAAGGACTTCAATAGAAGACAAGTGCAGAAAAGAGTTGGAAGGACTTAACAGACTAGTAACACAAGAACTCCTAGACAAAATATTCATCGTAATTCTTGAACCAATATGAAATCATTCAGACCTAAAAGAACAACAGACTCCTAGTGAGTCGGATATTTGACAGAAAACGGTAGCTTTATCTAGAGCAAAGGAACTGTGCCAAGTATGCAGAGTAATGACCTGAACTGAATGTAGACCCTGATAAAAATGAAAGTGTTAGCAGACCAATAAACTAAAATACTTCAAATCAGTGGTCGATATCTTTATCTAGCAGTAAGCAATCAATAATTCAGCTTCTTTAAAATAGGCAATTTGCCAACTGTACAAGTATACCGGCAACTCATCGTAAGCAGATTGACAAAGACTAGAAGGGGAAGTAAAAGGGAAGCTCAATGCATTATGCTTCCACTATGCACGAGGACCGGAAAAGGGCCAGACCACAAGGGTCTATTATACGCCGCCATACCTTAACCAGTTATGCCAATTCCATGTTCACAAGCAATGAATAGAACCTAAAGCAAACAGGACAACTGATAGAGTTGCAGACGTACTGAGAGAATTCGAGCAAGTGCAAATGCTGAAATCTCATCATTTCTAGTAAATGCTGCAATCAGCTTTCTATGAAGTTGACACAAGAACTATAACTAAATGAAGCTGTAGAATCACGTTTCGATTCTTACATACTATACTTTCAAAGAAGATCTGTATATAGATAGATAAATAATAAGAATAAAAACATAGAAATAGAAATATGGAACTACTAAAACCAGCCAAAAGCATTTGCTTGGCAACCCAATAAGACATATTTTCTTCACAATGAAAAAGCATGACCTGACAAAAGTGAGAAAATCAAATCCTAACTGGAGTACTGGACCAAAAGTATCAAAACACCATCTTTTTCTGAGTCTTCAACCATAAGATTCTGTGTATCTGTAACATAAAGCAACACAATCCCCACAACTTTAACTTACAGATTGAACATTTCCCACCCAGCTGGACCCAAAGTGTCATGAATCTAATTCATTGTTCAACATTTCAATCCACCCACTAAAAAACAACAGTTCAACTGGAATGGCATTTTTACATGAAAGTTGTCAATTGAAAAAAAAAGCCTAATTTCTGAAACAAGATCTGAGAGTCAATAATCACAAGTGTTAATACAGTTGAATAAAATTCAAACCACCTTACAGATCCAGTAAAATGGAGCTCACAAACAATATCTAAGGCTCACACTCACATAAAAAGGAATGTTATACCACGTACCACAAAAAAATATCAAGAAATGTAGACCCATAATGCAACATTTTTAGTGGTAACAAAGAAAAGACAAAAAAAGAAGATAAAATCAAGAAAATACAGACCCATAAAACCACAACATTCAAGATTTTGAGTGGGTATAAAAGCAAAGACCCCCAAAAATAAAGAATCACCAAAAATGAAGACCCATCACACAATATTCATGGAAACCCCATTTCAAGATTTAGTGTGATAAAAAGGAAAAAGACAAAAAAATCAAGAAAATGCAGACCCTTAACACCACAACATTCACTTGAAAAAAAAAAAAAACCCCATTTCAAGATTTTGAGTGGGTAAAAAGCAAAGAGGAAAAAAAATGCAGACATGTAGCAACAATATTCATGTAAACCCCATTTCAAGGAGATTTGCAGAAATGAATGTACTTACAGTAAAGGCAAAGAAAGGAATAGCAGAACAAAACAGAGCAGAGAGAGTTCCAACTTCCAAAGCTAAGGAAAATCTACTTGGAATGGCATGAAACGTTTTCTTGAAAAGGAGAGAGAAACTGAGTATATACTCCAAAGTTGATATATACATATACGTATAGAGAGAGAAAACCCCGCGAAAATCTAGAGAGAGAGAAACAGAGGCGTTTCGTTTTCAATCGAACGGTGCAAAGTGGAGTGGGCCAGGGTAGGAGTGTCCGTGTGGGCCCTTCTGTTATTGGGCCCCATTTATTTGACATGATTTCAACTTCACGAATCCCTAGGCCCAGATTTCTGATATCAGTGGGCCCTTCTCACGGTAGGAACGCCCTGTGCCAATAATCACATCATATTTCGAAAGTTTTTCAATTACTATAAAATATTTAAATTTATTTTCGAATACATTCATTGATTGTTCGATACATTATTTAATGAGAGATGCATTTGAGAAGGAATAAGGTATATGGATGTATCTAAATGAGGAGGGATGTATCCGAGAGAAAATTTTTATAATAATTGAGAATTTTAGAGATTATGACATTTTAAATTGTGTATTTATGTGATTTTTCTATAAAAAAAAAAAGAAGATGAAGAAGCTATTTTCATATTAGTAGTTTCTTATTCTTCGATTATTATTGTTATTTATACTGTACAATCGACATGGAGTAATATACAAATGGATTTGTTAATTTGACTTTAGAAAAGTATGTAACACAGCATAAACTATATCAATGCATTTTTTTCGTTTCGAATTATTAAAAGTGGTTCAAAATTTTATTACACTTTTAATTTGAATAGCATCAAACTACAATGAAAATGATATGAAGGTATACTAAACAAGTTGGTGATTTACAAGGAAAAAAAAAGTTGGGTAGAGAATAAACTAAGTTACAAGTTATATCTTCCTTAACATACACAAAACAACTTCATAATTCATGACTCATGACTCATGACTTGGTGGAAAAATAAGAATAATTTAAGCAACCATAGGAATTATTATTTTATTTTTATTTTTTTTTTAAAAAAAACAAGTGAAATCCTGCAATATATGACTTTCTTACAGACATATTATTTTATTCTCTTCCCTGGAGGAAAGGGTACCTTATTTGTCCCACACATAAAAACTTTGAACTAGTTTGACAGAAAGCTTTTTGGACATATATATAGTGTGGATGAAAGAAAAATAATTTAACCAATGAGATCATGCAAATTATGGATAATATGCATGGACAATATTAAATATTTTTCCACTATCAAGTCAATTTAACAATTTCTAGTAGATTATTGCTTGTCGTGTAATGATAATATCTTGCTTATATATGCATAAGAGTAAAAATAATTTTTAACGATAATAGATCGCTGTCAGAAAGGAGATCTTCTTGGTCAATTGAAGTAGTTTATGGACATAGGGTGGATAAATCGTTGAAATAAGAGGCCTACACTGTTTTATTCATTTGTCTATTTCCATTATTTGTATGTAGATACGACAATTTAAGGCATGGTGAATTTGAAGCTGGCTCTTTTGGACTTTTTTGGTGCTAGAAGTTGAAAAATGTTCCTAGGCAATCTTTTATTTTTATTTTTATTTTTGTGTAACAATTATATAATCCATTTGCACGTTATTTTATTGGGATCAAGTATTCGTAATGAAATTATCAATTACACATTTAAACTGTACGTTTTTTAATTTATTTATTTCATATTATTTACACCTAAACTATGTGGAGATCATATTACCTCCCTGCAATGAAATGTAGTGTAAAATAATGTGTAGACATAACTTTGTATTCAATTTTATTCTCTTGGTTTAATATTTATAACAGTTGATAATCTAATGAGTTTTTTTTTTCTTCTTAAAGAAGGTATCCAAACTATGGCATTTATTATGATTAAATATATTAATTATTATATGTATATGTAAAGAAATATCTGACTTATTTGGTCTCTTTCTTGAATTGTCTGAAAAATATGTGCAGTAGCTGATTTTAGGGGAAAGTGATTACTGATTAGGAAATAGCCACATAAAAATTGCGAAAAAAAATTCCTTTTTCCATTGTTTTTTTTCATTTGGCGTTCGATACCTATATTGAAGTCCTACTAAATTCGCATTCACGTTGGAAAGTTTCATATTAGAGGGTAAAAAACTCCATAACAAAGATGATTCCGTATCTAGGAGACTCGAACTGAGACCTATGATTAAAAATGAAGGCGTACTTACCGCTCCGCCATTTCTTTACTAATCCGGGAAGAAACGTTATTGTCCATAAAAATATACTCCCTTTATTTTATTGGTTTGATTTTGATTCGAAATTTCATAAAGTAATTTTTTTTAAAAATTATAATTTGAAATATTTAAAAATAAAATATTATTAAAAAACAAAATACTCTTTTAACAATAATAATTAAATAAATAAATAAATAAAAACGGTAGTATATTTGGTCCTAATTTGGCGCCAGTGGGAGGCTAAATGGTCAAAAAGGAATTATAATAGTAGTACAAGTAATTATTTTTTTAAACAAAAAAAAAGTGAATGACGTTTTTTGCGGCACATGTTTCCAGAAAAGCCACGTCAAATAAATTGATGTTGAAAAGACCTAATAGGCTAATAATAATAATAATAATAATATATTATACTCCCTTCGTCTTTTTTTATATGTTATCCTTATTATAAATAGTTAGTTTATACTAATACTTATCATTTCATAAAATCAATGCATAAATTACAATATTATTTCTATTTTTATTCTCGTGAGTTATTAGCCTTGAAAATATATATTTGACTAACATAGAAAAACTAATATAATTCATGTTTATTAGTCAAATTAATAAACCAAAATAAATTAATTCATATTACTTGATTGAAATTTGATTTTAAAAAAAATAAAGAAAGATAAAATAATAAATTTATTTAATTTCTTAATAGACGTGAAATAAAGAATGTTGACAAATAAATATGAACTTGATGTTGTAACAGAGGTTGGTTCAATGTCTATAATTTACTTTTTTTCTAACAATACTCTATTTAATTATGATTATGAATAGGACTTTGAATAGATATCATAATGTAGTGTTCTTAAATTTCATCATAAATGAAAATGAATAATGCACCAAAGCTTAATTTTCACTGATCAAAAGTCGCTTTCTCTGTTATTTGAAATGAATACAATAATTAATTATATCTTTCTTGATTCTATGTCCTAAATTTGCGCGGGAAAAGAGTTGAAATTATTATATTAGTTTTTATTTGTTCATGATTAATTTTGCAAAAGAAATAATAAATAAAGTGTATATTTTTTTTTATGATATTCATATTTGTTGTATATAGTCTTAATGAACTTACGAGATGCAAATTTGGAATGAGTATTATAAATTATAGTAAATAAACGTGTCAACTATTATATCCTATTGACTTTTCACATCTAAAGTTGGACACTAAATTAAAAAAAATTAACGCCACTAGTGATCATAATGTAAAGTAAACCAAAGTTGGCTAATTAATTAAGCTTCACATAAGTGGTTGATAAAAAGATTAAAGAAATGATTAGAAATGAATGTGGCACGCCTAGTGTGAAATAATCCATCATTACTTTTTTATATTATCTATTCATTACTTTTGCCTTTTCTTGTTTTTAAATGATGCCAATCTTGTAATGCATTCGTGTTCCATAGTCAATGTGTAAATATTTTGATGGAGTGGTATGTAATCCTAAAAGAGATTTTGGTTATGTTTGATCGAGTCATAATTGTGGATTTATTAGCAGTAAGAGTCATGATAAACATGACAAAGGGATAAGTACTTATTCATTCTTAATTAGGAGTCTTAGGATCACTTACCAAATATGTAACCATATTTGTTAGGGAACGCTTAATTAAGTACCCCTCAATAAGGGACTTTTCGACAAGAATTCAGATTCAGTCATATAATGCGACAATAGACACCCCGTGGATCCCCAAACATTTTTTTTATTGGTTTGGAAAGATGAAATTGGAATGAGCAGTTTTGAGTCTTTTATGAGAATTCATTCATATACAATTGGTGTTATTCCTTTTATATTGCAAATGAATGGTTGAATATAGTTTTCTTGAAGGTGAAGCATATGTGTAATCATGAAATGCAGATACTTAGCTTTTTTACTTGCATAGAATTTGCTAAAAATCCTCTAGGTACCTTTTGAGAATAATTTATGGTGAAGCTTAATCCTCATGATTTGTGAAATTTATATAGAATCAATTTATAAATAAAATACTAACAAAGACGTAGCATAGGTTTATAGCTGCATGGAGTAATTAATGCACATTGAGTTTTGTCTATTAGAAAATAATAGCAACAAAAGTGGGTGAGCATTATTTAGTGTGAATAGACTCGGACCGTAAGAATCTATTGTATGCAATGTTATTTATGGTTTAACGATTTTTCTTTAAGTAAAATTCCTTTCTTTAAATCTTTTTAGTTGGGACAAAAAAATCAGGACCACCTCTTATTAAGGTCATTCTCGTAAAATCATCTGATCAATTTATGATAGCCAACATTCATATTTTAATTAATTAAATTACTCATTTTGTACCAAAAAAGTTTGTACAAAAAAAAAAATAGTTCAAAACATTTATTACTCTCTCTTTTAACTGGTTTCTTCAATTTCTCTCCAACTTTATTTCTCATTATACTTGTCTGATAAACACTCTTTTTGGTATTTTCATTATTTTTTCGAGTTCGTCGAACAAAACACCATGTTGTTTGTGATTTATTTTGGTTAGGTGGTATTAATTTTTGTTGAAACATGTTGTTGAGTTTCAATATCAATTTTAAATCGAGACGATTTAAAGAAGATTGGAGTTGATTTTAGATTTAAAATTCAAGATCGAAAACGATTTCATCCGTGTATATTCCACTATAGATATGTATATATGTGAATATCTCATTGTATCTCCTGTATCATATATGTATATGTGAATACCCATAAAAATTTGTGTGTGATAGTTGTGGACATGATACGGTAAAACATTTATCATCATGTAAGAAACAATAACTATATAAATACCTTACCCTTTAACTTTTGAAAATTCATATTACTATATGATATTCCATTTGGATGAAATGGCATAATTAAAGTTGTGAGATAGATAGATAGATTGAACAGACGATTTAAATTATTCTTGATTTCTTGTACTATTAGGGATCATTTGGTTGGAACTGTTAAAGAATGTCAAAAGTTTACATTGGTGGTTAATGAGATGAATTGACTTCTTATAAGGCTCGGGCAAATCCTCCTCTCTATGAGGCATGAGCTATCTTTTGGGTGTGAGTTAGGCCTAAGAACTAATATAATTACAAGTTATCACATAATAAGTTATTTCATCATGTATATGAGATAACTTATCCCATCACCAAAGCATAAATGATGAAATAAATAATGTATATGGGATAATTTATCCCGTCATTAAGACATAATACATGAATACCTATTAATACTTCTAATCAAATGTAGAATAAAATAGTCATGCATTTTATCATGGAATTATTAATGTTGATAACATCGAATCTTTGAATCCTGTTTTCCACGTTATCTCCATCACATCCTTAAAGGAATTCAATTCTCTTTTAATTTTAGCCGTAAAATAATTCCACATTACACACCATCTCCTTTAACTTTAAAAATTCCATTTCTTAAAATTTGTAACTCTTTACCCTGTATAAATACCTTACCCTAACCCTAGTATTCATGATAATTCTACTAACTCCACAAATCACATTCAATTTATTTAGATATCTTATAACTAGAATTCCTTTTTTTTCGATCAGCGATGCGATCCTCAATTCAAAGAGAAACGATATCAAGAAGTGGTGAACAACAAGTTCATGATCCTTATTTCAATCACTATGCACCGTTTTATTCAAACAATGTGTACGACCTTTTTGGTCGTGATAAAGGTTGGAATTATAATTTCCACGAATTTTATGACGAAAATACTTCAAAATTACCGTCCAATCAGCTACCTGCAAAGCTGATGAAAATACAGCATAAAGAAGCAATAGAGGCACATTTCTTCAGGTGTCAATTGTATGGCTACAATGAAAGACATGTCAAAATACAGGTAATCAATTCTTTAATTTCGAGTTAAAAACACATCTAAACTATATTTTTTTAAATATTTTTTCCAGTTTCATATCTAAATTATTGAAGGTGCATTCGTTAATTAGTTTGAAAAAACACACCTAAGCTAATATGTGTTGATGTGTGTATTGAACGGACAAAACATTTCATCTTGACAAAAATTAAATAAACTATTAGTATTAATTAAAAATTAAAGATTAAAATATTACGTCCGAAAAAAATAAATTAATTTTTTTAAAATTTAAAATTTAAAACATTTTTCTTACCCCTTTCCCTTCCATCAAAAAAAATTAGAGATTAGAAAAATATTCTACCCACTCTCTAAAAAGAAGTTTATATATTGATAATTTCTTTTACAGAAAAAGTTCAAAAATGCGTGAAATGAACAAAAAGGCCTTTATGTTTATATATAGTTTGGTTGAAAATATCTTTATCGTTAATACTTTAATTTAAAAAATATCTTTGTCATTGAGAATTTAATTCAGTGCTCCTATTGTTATTAAATGGATAAAAAATGTCATTCTTTTTTGGGAAAAAGGACAAATATACTTCCGAATTATTGTAAATGGTATGCAAATACCCTCCGTCATATTTTTGGGATATTGTTGCCCTTGCCGTCCAAAAACTAGAGCATATATACCCTTTATACTAACGAACATACATGTGTCATAATCTTTTCCACTGATCTGACATTTATTTAATATTAGATCGACGGATAAGATTACGCTTCCGTTAGAGTGAAGGGCATATATGCTCTAGTTTTTGGACAGCAGGGACACTAATATCCTAAAAGTATGAAGGAGCGTATCTGGATACCGTTTACGATAGTTCGGGATATATTTATCTTTTTTCCCTTCTTCTTTTTATGTGACTATAAGGATATAATTATCTCTCTTTCGTTTCTGTAATGTAAAGTTAATTCAATTGAACCCATTGATTTGTATGTTATATCCGCAGGTGGATGACAAAGTATTGACGATTAGTGGGAGAAAAAGGTATAAGAAATTCTCCACATCCTTTCAACTACCTGAGAATTCTATGCCTAATTCTTTTCAGAAATCAATGAACAGAATGGGAGTGGTCACTATAACTGTTCCTAAGATGGAAATTAGGAGGAACAACCAAAGTCCTCTATTAATTAATATAAATTAATAAATTTAAAAGGTTGATATAATATTATCTCAATTATAATTTATAGTATAGTATATAGTATAATATTGTGGAATGAGAAGTAAAAATAACGAGAAATTAAAAAGAAGTGAGTTTGGGTTATGTTTGTGTATTATTATTAGTAATTACTACATAAATAAAATGGTATTTCTATTTCTTATTCTTTCATATATTTTTTTATTTCCATTCTTCGCCAATTAATTCATTGTTTCGAATTTCGATCGTCATTATTATTATTATTAATGTTAAAGACATAGTTAAGTGATTAAAATTAAAGTATGTTTTTTTTTTTTAAAATAAAATACTTTTGACATTCAAATGAGATTATACAAGTTAATAATATACCATAGCTTTGACAGGAATAATAACAAAATTAAAATAGATTAATAATAAAATTCATCTGTATCCTTAATAATCTAATAAAAAAGATAAATATTAATTGAGAAAGTTACAGTCTAGTATATATGTTTTTCTATATTTTAGCAAACACCTACAATTAGTATCGATCAACGGTCCAAAAATGAAAAAAAGTTCAATATTAATTGAGATCAAAAAATAAATTAAGATAATTTACTTTTAAAAGTTCGATAAAAACTTCTTTTTCAAGAAAATAATATGAATTTTCAATTCCGATTATTCTATTTTTATAGGAATTGATAAGAAATGAGAAATACTTTGACGCTATTCAGTTTCATACTAATATATAGTTATATATTATATAGAAATTATATAATTATTCCGATTTCAATGAACTTATAAATTAGAATATAGGAAAATAATAGTGAATATCATGTATATTTATCAAATATAATATTATATTTGATGATATACACACATGATATATACTTTCATAGGGGAGAAAACTTTACAATTTTTGATTCAATAATCTGCAAATTTTCACTTGGCTAGAAGAGTTGTTGTAACTTGTAAGTTCTTCGATGAATGAATATTTATTCACAATCAATAATAGGTGAATGTAAGTCAACTCGACATTAAGATATACTTTAATACAAATGAAGTAATAGTTTAGGTGGGTCATCGGAGGGTTGCTAACTCACGGTGGATAAAACTTGACTTCTTTAGAAAAATCAATGTTGATTTGCCCAATATGTTGGCTCCTTTATTGTGGGTGTATGACTAACATATAAAAGAACATATATTTTATCGTCATCAATTTTTACTTCATGGAGTTGATATATCAACAAGTCAATTAACTTTAAATTGAACAGAACTACGAGAGTATAAAAGTCATTATCCAACTCTATTTGTTTCTAACAAGGCCATTTTCAAATTTTGAGAGCCTTGCCATATGCATGATATTGGCGTAAACCAACATAAATGTTAATGATGGGCCTCACATCGGTGTAAAATAATGAAATCGGTAAAGAAAAAAATTGTCTCAAGACACCCTAAGATTCTTCCTTCCAAGTTACAATGCCTAAAAATAATAGGAAAATTACTTTGAAATCCCAAGTCGTGAATATTTTACAAACAAACAACTTTTGTTATTGCTTAAAAAAAGCTTACAACATTACAAAATACTCATATATATCTCAAATTAAAACCCCAATCAAGAAAACAAGAAAATGCCACTCAAAGCTCATGCTCAATTGTTATGTAATTAACAAAAGACAAAAGACAACATTAATTATGTAATTAATTAGTCACTAATTAATCTCAATGGTGTTAGCCTCAGATTTCTTAATCTCTTGTTTAGGAATTGTAACAGTAAGAACACCATTCTCCATACTAGCTTTCACTTCATCAATCTTAGCATTTTCAGGTAGCCAAAACTATCTATAGAACTTGCCACGTGGCCTCTCGACGTGCCTCCACGTCTCATTTTCATTCTTTTGATCTTCTTTATTATAATCAACATCCTTAATCTCACCACTAATTTGGAAGACCCTTTCATCCTCAACTTCAACTTTGACTTTCTCTTTGTTTAATTTGTTTAATCTATGAAGATCAACTTTGAAGATATGAGTCAATTAGGCTAAGGGGTTGGAAAATGGTGTTTAGCAATTGAGGAATTAGTGCCATTTTTGAAAATTTGATGGTAGCTGGTGAAATGATCGAGAGATTTTAACTCTTTTTCCTTTTTAGTTCGTTCAAAAAAGAATGTTATTTCCTATAATTAGAAACAATTTAATTTTAAAATTTTTCTCTTTTACTCTTAAAGAAATGATTTATAACTACACAAATATCTGAAAATTGTTTTAGATTTGAAATTTCAAAAGTCTTCCATTTTTCTAAACAACAATTGAAATAAGTGAGCCAAACCATTTTAACCAAAAAAATAAATAAAATAATTGAGAATGTTACGAAAATCAAACATAAGAGAGAGTATAGGAGTACTTAATTTTCTTATGTACACTTTAATAAATTATTATTTGTAATAGAACACACTTTAGTTACTTAAAACTAAAGAACATGAAATACCCACAAAATTGAATATACGGGCTTTAAATTTATTGCAACCACGCAGTTTAGTTTAATTTGTATATGACTTTTGAATGCATGAAAATATACTTGAAATGAGTGTTTTATTGAAGATTTTGAAAATAGATATATGAAGTAATTTGAAATTTTTTTTGAAGTCTTTCGATTCATAAAAACTGAAATCGACACAGAATGATCCAGATAAGGATTCTGGTGATACTCTCAAAAGAAGATTTTAACCACTTAATATTATCCACAAACATTTGGCTTATCGATAAATAATTTATTTGGCTTATTTTGAAAACTTAAAGATACTGGCCTATTTTGGAAAATAATAATTAAAAAAAGCGTTGAATTGATTAATTAAGAAATGAGAACTTTGAGTTCATATTTCAGCGAAATTTAAAAATATTCAATTACGTGAGTTGACAAACATTCTTAAGTAATTACTCCCTATATCCTTAATTACTTGTTCATTTTGACAAATTAAGAAAGTATAATTATTTTACCTATTATACCCTCAATTAAATGACTAATTATTTTGAAAAATGTATTACTTTTCATCCACTTTATAATTAATAGGGATAAAATGGTAAACTCACTATGTCATTAATTATTTTCTTAATAGGTGTGTCAATTCAAAAGTAAACAAGTAATTAGGGACAGAGGAAGTAGTTAAAAAGGGTATAGTTTAATTTATTTACTATCAGTTAATATAGTTTTAGTTTTTTTCCCATAATTAATGGGACCCACCACCTCTTTGTATACCGAACCAACAAAGTCCTTCATAATTCATATGCTTTTCTATATAATTTTATACAAAATCCAATGTATCTCTCATATCCCCCATTTCATATCTTTATCCTAAAATCACTCTTCTACTTCTAATTTGAATTTCGAATTCCACCGTCTCCCTCCAATCGTTCTTTCACTTTTCACAGGTAACTATCAAAATCGTGGGTGAATACATTTTTTTTCTTTTTTCCTTCTTCAACAATTGTATATTATTATGCTTGTTAGTTTTTTCATATTTTTTTTTAAAAATTATTTCTTACTTATCATATTAGAAGTTTTTCAAAATCAGAATGGATGATTCATCTCCATCTATGAGGTTTACGAGAGGTATGTCATGAATGTTGTTGACAATCCACCTTTGTTTTCAATGGGTTAAAAAATAAAATATTGTATAAATTTTTAATCAAAAAAACGTTATATACAAAATAAATGCTTAATAGCAAACTAAACTATACCCTTGGAATGTAATTATATAAATTATAGCCATAGAGAGTTATTTTGAAAAATATATTTGCCATATATGAAATTTTCCCTTCAATAATTGAAAACAAAGTAATGAGACTTCAAATAAAAATATAACGACTTAAAAAAAAAATCAGTTATAACTAATTGAATATAACAAGTAATTACAATTAATTAAATAAATACAATGGGGATAACTAACCAAATTACAATTGAAATAAAATTAAATATAACTAGTACAAAAGAGGTATTTTGGAATAAGTTTTTATTGGCCAACTTGAGTCTTTGACCCATTATACACACCCGTAAAAAGAAGAATTTCTTGAAAAACCCAAAATTTCCACAAGTTATGAGTTGCTCCTTGTTTTTGGCTCTCTAAATTTGTTGAAATCAGTAAAAAGGGAGGAGTATATATATGTTAGTATATATAGGGTCGAACATGATGTGAATTTTTGGGACAAATTCGATGTGGTTCCGGGTATGAATTCAATTTTTTTAATGAATAAGGTGATGATCGGAAGATACACAAAATAGTACCAATTTGAAACAAATTTGATGAATGGAAATTGATAAACTGAAAAGATGAGGCCATGTGGATCAAAATTGGGGGTCAATAATATGCAAATGTTAGGAATATTTTAAATGAACATGTTTCAATGATGTTGCTCCTCAAGTTCTAGAGGTTTTTTTTTGTTAAATATTTCTAGTTAATAAGATATTAGTCATTTTTTTACGATATATTACATTGGATGTTATTATAAAAAGTTTATTTATTAGTAGAAAAAATTGAGTTATTTAATTTAAAGTTCTAAAATGTTTCCGTATAAAGTAGATAATTTTTTCTTTATTTCTATTTTTATATAATTTTTATACTATTTTTTTTACAATTTTCTCTACTGTCTTAAATGAAATTAAAATCATAAAATTCGTAACTAAAAATTTTTGGGGCCTCAAAATTTCGAAAACCTAAATCAAATGTTTTACTAGCCTGTCCCCGTGCCACTCTTTGAACTAAAATGTGTCTTCTCTAATCTAAAATATTAGTTTGTCGTTTGTTTTTGGAAGCAACGCTCACATTCTTTTGCTTTACTTTTTTTCTCATTAGCATTGTCTTATCGCTTCCATAAACAATTAAGAAAATATTTTATACTATGGATGGGCATTGCAAAGTCATCGAACATTATTCTATCAAGTTTATTTCTTTTCCTTTCTTTTTCATCATTAATTCTTGTAATATTCATGATTTTGTTTTTCCTATTTAAATTATGAGTAGCTAAACTCCTTAGTTCTAAGGTTAGAATAGCTACATTAATGTTGATGTATGAGTTGAAATTGTCGTCGTTTATGTGATTTATATTATGAGTTTATTCACTTAACTATGATTTTAGTTCGTAATAACACTTGAATCTTAATTCACTATATTACTTGTACTATAGGATCTTGTAATGTAACAATGTCTAAACTCCATAAAATCCATATTAAATAATATTCCGTATGGATGGGATCGCATAATTAAAGTTGTGAACACAAATAAATGATCCCATCGAATAAAGTATAGATGTGAACGGAATTAGAATTGACACGTTCAAACTATATTTTTAACATACATAAAAAGATAGTGATTATTCTTGATTTCTTGTACCATAAGTTGTGATTAGCTAGGTAACCATATATCTCGAAATACAATTTTAATTGATCAACGTGTAAAAAAATGCATAACAAGGTACATATTGTAAATGGTAGAGTAGCTTTATTATAACGATCCACTGAAATTCAACCCTTTGTCGTGAAACATGGAAATTCCCATCCAATTGTTAGTGGATTTTTCACTGTTTTTTGTTCTATTGTTGATAAAGATAGAATCTTTCAATTCTGTTTTCCACATTATTATGGAATTTCATTCTCTTTCATTTCAACCGTAAAATATTTCCATATTACACCATCTCATCAACTTTACATCCCCTTTCACACAAATTCCATTTCTTGAAATTTCTAAATGTTTATTTACCCTATATAAATACATTACCCTATTACTCATAATAATTCCACCAAGAAATCAACTCAACTCCACATAACAAATTCATTTTCACCTTTACTTTCTTTTGCCAAAAAAAAAAAAATGTCTCTCATGCCTGTATTTGGTGGTCGGAGAAATCATGCACATCAGGTGCATGATCCTTATTCCGACCACCAGACACACCAGGTGCATGATCCTTATTCCGACCACCAGACACACAAGGTGCATAATCCTTATTCTCGTCCTTCACACCCGGTGTATGATCCTTATTCTCAACACGCACACCAAGTGCATGATCCTTTTGCTCATCATGAAGTATGGGATCCTTTCCATGAATTTTATCTCGAAAATCCTCGATCCCTCATAGCTCCAGCACCATCGTTCCACCACGTACCTGCAACGATGGCTCAAATAGAGTATAAGGAAACACCAGAGGCACATATCTTTAGGTGTAACTTGCATGGCTACAAGAAAGAAGACGTCAAAGTACAGGTAGTGAATCCCTTATTATCTCTTATTCATTATATGGTTATATTTTGACTGAACACGAAGTTTAAAATCGATAGAAACATGACTTTTAGAACACACGATTTAAGAAAGTAAGAGTCACTTTTGAATGTTGTGGTTTTAAATTAAAGATGTGTATAATATACTAAAATGACTTCTAAAACGTGTGGTTTTCAACATGTCATGTTATAAGATGTTGGAATAAATTAAACACGTTACTCCATTTGTCTCACTTTATGTGGTACATTCCTTTTGCAGAGCCAATTTGACTAAGATCAACTCAATATTTAAAAAAATTAAGATATTTATTATATTTAAAAAAATTAAGATATTTAATAACTATACGAAAAGTATTACTCCCTCAATTTAAAAAAGGATGGTCTAGTTTGACTTGGAACGGAGTTTAAGAAAAGAAAGAACACTTTTTAATCTTGTGGTTCTAAATTAAAGTTATGTCAAATGAACCAATATGCCCTTTAATCTTGTGGTCTTAAACATGTCACGTGGAAAGTTGAAGTTAAAGTGTTGCCAAAAAAGGAAAGGGGTCATTCTTTTTTAAACTGACTAAAAAGGAAAGGAGTCATTCTTTTTTAAACAGACTGAAAAGGAAAGTAGGTCATTCTTTTTTAACATTGTTACATAGTTTAAATCTCGAAAAGTGAAAAATGTTACATAAATTAAGAAGAGAGAGTACTAAAGTGACATTTCATTTACATGACTATAAGGATATACTATAGTATAGTTAATTCAGTTGAACCCGTTGATTATATGTTATAAACGCGTTTTTTCGCAGGTGGAGGATGAAAAAATACTGAAAATTACTGGGGAAACAAGAGTGATGAAGAAAGAAGATAATTGGCACCATTATGAAAGAAGCAGTGGAAAATTCTTAACATCTTTTTCACTGCCTCTGAATTGTAGGGCTGATTATGTTAAGTCATCAATGGAAAATGGAGTGCTCACTATAACTGTTCCTAAGAAGGAAATTAGAAGGAATCAACACCATCTAAGATCTGTTCAAATTAATTAATTAATTAAAAGGTTGAATCTTATGGTATAATGAATATGTCTTGTTAATTTGGTACTACTCCACATATTATGTAAAATATTGTGGACATGAAGTCAAAATAAAGAGAGAATAGTAAAAAGTTTTAGTGGTACTATATATAATGTGGAGAGAAAAGAATCAAAAGTGAGTTTGACATATATATCCTTGTGTAATATTTGTAGTAACTAGTACTAAATAAATAAAATGGTATTTTTATTTCTTATTCTTTAAGTTCTTTTTTGTTTTCCATTCTGAGCTAATATTAGTGTGAATGCAGATCCTACCTCTATAAAGTAGACGGGTTGCTTTTGATCAATAACCCTCCGTTCAAGTAAAAACATAATAAAACAATTTGAAAAGGAAACCACGAGAATGAAGAAGTCAAGACATAATGCTAAAGAAAGCATGAAAATGCATACTAAAAATGAAACAGTTACTATCACAAAATAACACGATAATCAAAGTGCTCGACACAATAAATAATAGTAGAAATGGAATAGCAAAAAGCTCCTAGAGTAAAACTACGACTACTGATATGAACTGATATGAACGACGAAGCTACATAACCCTCAATTACCTAACCCTCTATCTTAATCCGCATCCTTCGTAAGCTTCTATTTAAGATCATTCTATCGATAAGATGAAAATATGTCATTTTCTAAAAATAATTTCAGTATTACACATGAGAAATTATGTTGTATATTTTTCTAGATATTATACTAACTAAATTTGGGCTTTGGAAAATCAATTTTGTTCTATGTACAATTTCCTAATATGAATTATCATCAATAGAATTGTAATGACCCTAAAGGTCATTTTTGGAAAATTTCATAAAATCACCGTTTTACCCCTCCCGATAATTGCCCCGAGTCCTAATTGTTTATTTTCGAAGTTGGTTTGAAGGAAAATTGATGAAAAGTTGAGTTTTTGGAAAGTTGAGTTTTTAAGAGTTAAAATTTGGTTAAAAGTGCTACTTCGAGTCATTTGGAGTTTCGAGACACGAATCGAATTTCCGTCGATTCTAGTAGTTTTAGAATGTCGAAACGGGTCTATGAGAATTTACGGAGTCGAATTTGGAGTTAAACCGAAGATTTGAGGTCCTAAGTTGCTAAAATTGTGAAATTTTGATCAAGAGTTGACTTTGGTCAACAAACGAGGTTTCGGTGCTCAAAATGGAATTCCGAGGGCACCGTTGCATTCAGGGGGTGATTCTAAGTCTAGAATGAGTCTTGGTTGAATTTTTAGAGTCCCCGAGTGCGTTTCGAGTTTTTGAGCCTAGAGTTAGTTTCTTGACGCCTTATTGAATACCGGGTCAAGGAGACCTCGAATTCAAATTCCGACGATTTCATTGAGTCCGAAATGTCATTTTCAAGCTAGTAGCATATTTGGTTTGTGTTCGGGAAGTGCCAAATGAGTTTTGGGTGAGCTTTTAAGCTTCTTGGATGCTTTGACACTATTTCAGCAAATTGTGGCAACTAAAGGATTCATTATTAGTTTTAAAGGTCGAAAAGTTATTCTGAAGGTTCTGAAATTTTGAGCATGAATTATAGGACTTATCTGCAAATTTTGGTGCATTTTCGCTAACCCGAGATTGGACTTTTATCGCAAATAAGAAATAATTGTTTACCGAGTAGAAATGATATTTGACTGGGCAAACGAGCATGAAATTGAGCTCCGATTGAACTAGCAGGTCCGTATCATTATTTAAAACATTTACAAAAAGAATCGGGTCATTTCACTATCGTATGAGGAAATTACGGCCTTTATAGTGAAAGATTAACTGTTGTTTTTCTGGTGCATAACAGCCATGTACTGTTATAAAAATCTCAGACTGTGTTCATTTGGTATTTTGAGCATATCGGGAGATCTAGAGATCAGAATGGAGTGATTCTTATAGGTTTGTTCTTGAATTAATATGAGGGTTAGTATTCAATCTTCAATTCGTCATTTTTCTCATAATTTCTTTATCTGGTTTTTTTTTCCTTATCCATAAATCTCTTGGGAAAAATTGGGGTTTTATCGATTTGGACTCCCTTTTTGATGAAAAAGGTATATTTACGATCCTTATGTTATGGGTAAACTGATTTTAACATAAAATTATTGATTCATCGGTTATTTTCATCATATTAACTGCGTACAATTTGGACTTTCCCGGTAAAGTTAAAGTTTGATAAATCAAGAATTTCAAGGTCGATCTTAACTCCGTTTTTGATGAAATTTCATATTTGAACTTATCTAAGCATGGGTAAGATGTTTTTTCAAGAGATATGTCATTTTCGAGTCGGGGTTTTGGATCCGAATATTTTAGGCTTATTCAAGAACGTGGATTTTCCTTCAAATTGAGTTTGTGAATTGATTTCAACTCCGTTTTCAAATTGGTTTTCACCATTAGCTTCCAAATACTTTAAGGATCATTTTACATCAAAAATTTCCAGATTTGGGTATCGTTTTCCGGTATGAGACTTTTGGACCGTTTTGCCCTTTTTCCCTAAATTTCTTGATTTTGGTGTCATTGGACTCGAATTGTGATTGTGATTAATTGTTTGAATAGATTATCGTGATCCGGATTATACTCAGAAAGGAAAGGCTCAAGTCAAGTAACTTTTGGAGTTCGTTTTAAGGCAAGTGGCTTCTAAACTTTGTAAAACTCTTAGACTACGCATGACTACTTTCCTAATTGTGTTGGGGAGTAATGGGATTGAGGATGAGTTTTGTTTGTTGATTGAAATTGTTGTAAATGAAAGATGGGGAATAAAACGAGCTAAATGTGTTATATGTGACTTGAATTTGTTGAATAAGTCATGTTATAACTGATATTGAGGGGAAAGAAGAGCATTAGTAGGCTATGATTGATACAGACATTGTGATTGAGACAGGTGATGTGTAATGCTATGATGTGGTCGTGATATGGTTGTGAATGAGACATGTGATGTGTAGTACTATGATGTGGTCGTGATATGGTTGTGATTGAGATAGGTGATGTGTAATACTATGATGTGGTCGTGATATGGTTGTGATTGAGACAGATGATGTGTAATACTATGATGTGAACGTGATATGATTGTGATTGATGACATGTGCATATTTATTATTCATCCCGTGTGTGAACTATACGTTGCATGAGTTCTGAGAAATTGATATTAGGATGAATGGATATGAGACACAGTTGAGACTAGTTCCGGCTAGAGATATATGAGATGGACTAGCTCCGGCTAGCGATTTGGATGCCGATGGGATCCAGTTCCGTCGGTGATATATGGTCCATGTGTGGCCCCCATGGATTCTGATTTGAGTATTCAGCGCGGACTGATTACGTCAACAAATATGTATCGTAGGACAGACATGCATCACGACTACATGACATCATTATTGCATTTTGCATCGCATTTGCCTTATTTTTGTCTGAGATGTGTGGATTGTATCGGTTTACCCTTATTATGTGGAATTTGATCTACTTGCTCTTATTTGTTGACCTTAGGTTGATGAGAATATATTGTTGGTTCTGGCTGTTGAATATGATCTGTTTAATATATGTTGGTTGGTTTGCTGCTAGATTGAAGTTTCGGTGGTTCGGTTGGGTTTGAAAGGAGTTGTTTGTAGCTGCTAGTTTTGCTTAGTTTAGAGTTACTTGTGAGTACTTGTGGTTTTTGATACTCACCCTTGCTTCTACACAGTTGTGTAGGTTGACAACTCTCTCATATTCGGCTTAGTATTTTCTTTAGCAGATTGAGCTTCGGGACATACTCGAGAGGTAGCGGTTCATTCCAGACGTGCCCTTGAGTTATCTTTACTTTCAGTTTTGTTCTATTCGAGAACTATACTCTGAGACTTGTATATTTTAATTTGAATTATGTATTTAGAGGTTTGTACATGTGACAACCAAATTCTGGGTAGTGTTGAGTCTTAATTAAAGTCTTCCGCTTATTTATTATCTTTTATTCTCGTATTTCTACTTCTCTATCGTTGTGGTTAGGTTAGGCTGACGTGTCCGGTGAGAAATGGACACGTGCCATCATTTCCTAAAAATAATTTCAGTATTACACATGAGAAATTATGTTGTATATTTTTCTAGATATTATACTAACTAAATTTGGGCTCTGGAAAATCAATTTTGTTCTATGTACAATTTCCTAATATGAATTATCATCAATAGAATGTACATATTCTTGGGCCAGTGGTGCTAACAATACTTTTAGGCAATAAAAGACAATGAAAGTTAAATCCTAGAAGTTCAATGGTTACATTTTTTTGCTTCTTCAGAGGTAATTTGATTAATCTTAATTGCTAAATTGAATTAGTTTGATTTGATTTATTTTTTTTGAAAAAACAAGAATATAGATGGTTAAAAATAAAAAGTAGTAGATAAGACAAGACATCTCAAAATTCATATAGTTTGATTCTAGAAAAACGAAACAAAACAAATATTTTGGCACAAGAGAATACTTTAATTGGATGTTGTTGTCTTTCTTTTAACCCATTCAAATTATGCAGATTCTTCTCCACAATAAACATTTCAACAACGAAAGATAACGGACGTTGTTATCTTTAGGCTGGCTCCAGCAAATATATATTATATTCTCCCTTGCCCATTCCAAATAAACAAACAACAAATTAATAAAATAATATTAGTCATTTTCATCCTTGTTTTTTTCCCCAATCAATTGAGCTAACAATGATCGAGAGACAGATTCAGAGTTTAAATTTTATAAGTTTAATCAACCATTATTAATGAACTTTACCACATAATTTAATGATGTACGTTGAAAGTACTAAATTCATTTTTTTACTCTTTCTAGGAGCTCCAACCTCTTTTTCGCTGATGACTCGAACTTATAACCATAAGATTAGAGTGTGGAGGGTGCTTACCATCTGAGGAACCATTGACAATGACTCTCACAAATTTATTTAAGCACACTCACAATTCATATATATCTATCATTTGTGTCTCATCTACATAGTAATAATAAATCCATTTTTTTTCTAATTCCTCAAAATATCTCACACACACGACCATCAAGGAAACATGGACATGCCTCATGATCAAAATATGCCTATGATTATGAACATGGTGATGCAAATGAATTTCCATTGGGGTAAAGATGTGACAATATTATTCAAAGGATGGCCAAACAATAACCTAGGCATGTACATATTGTCTTTGTTTTTTGTTTTCTTTATGGCATTTGGTGTTGAAATTATGTCAATGGGTCCAATAATGATCAACAAAAGGCCCATTGGGATTATTCAATCTGGGATTTATTATACTCTTCGAATGGTTCTTGTTTATTTTGTTATGCTTGCTGTTATGTCCTTCAACATTGGGATTTTCATTGTTGCTATTTTAGGCCATGGTTTGGGCTATGTCGCTGTTAAATTCCGTGAACTTGTCACGGCTCAGACGACCACGGATTCAAATGGTACGGATCCTAAAGTTTAAAGGCTATCTAAAACATAGTATACGTCTAGAACTGGTGATGCAGAGATAACAAATCAAAAGGATGTACCACAAGGGTAATTTTAATCTTTACTTCTTTTTTTAGTTGAATATATTACCTAGCTAGATGGTAATATTAATCTTTTATATATATTAGTTTCATCTTTTTCATGTGTGTAATTTTGTGGGATGATATGAAAAAAAAATCGAATTTATTTGGCTTTCGTTTTTGTGCAATAACATTCCAATGGAATGATTTATGGGAAAAACTTGTTATATTTAGTGCTTCTATAGATTGTTGCCATAGGAAAAAGGGGTTCAAATGAATCGTCTTCATTAAAATTTGGTATTTTCGCAAAAATAAGGCAAATTAAAATAAAGAAAAAATTTAATTGTATATTTATAATTTTTAATTCCCTTATAGTGTAACTGGTAACAGTAGTTAAAACTTGTTTTAAATTACAAGTTCGATTTTAAAAATAATTTTTCTTGTTGCGACAATGCTTCTATGTAATTTTGATGTATGGATCAGCATAAGTTATGTAATCTATGTGAAGAAGAATACTTAACAGCATGAACGGAGTCATCTAGGGTGATTTGGTGCATAATCTTCGCTGCAAAATTATATAGTGTACAAAAGTTAAATATAGCTATTGTAAGTGTATATTTAATTTTGTCAACTTTTAATATAATTGACAAAATAAATACACCTTATGGCTATATATACAACATTAGATAATGAAAATATTCATTTAACATCCCTATTTCCTATGGATATAATCTAGGACAAATTACTTAACTACACTCCTTTACTTACCTTAATATCCATTTATCCCTACTTATTTAAAAAATTTCAAAAATCCCTTATTTACCTATGTATCCCGTGCACAACGCTATGTATCCCGCTATGTGGAATGTATCAAACGCTATGTATCTCATGCACAACGCTATATATCCCGCATGTATCCCGTGCACAACGTTATAGATCCCACTAAGTAGAATGTATCAAACCTAATGTATCCCATGCACAACGCTATGTATCCCGCTATGTGGAATGTATCAAACCTAATGTATCCCGTGCACAACGCTATGTATCCCGCAAACATCATTTTTAAGGGATTTTTGGTAAATAGAAAATTAGAAGGGATAGGATGTTATTTAGTACTTATAATATGTGGTTCCTATAATTTATACTATAATCTAACCAAAATGTACATATAATTTAGCTTGGGCCTATTGATAAAGTTCTAACCCAATTCAAATTCCGGTCCGTTGTACATATTTTTTAGTAAAAATTAGGCAAATGACATAGTATAAGAAAGAAATTACTTCCTTTCCCTATTCTTTCATTAATTACCAAAAATCCCTTTTTTTAGTGTTTTTCGGATCCATAATATAGCAGTGTGGATACTTAATATAGCAGCGCGGATACTTTAATTAATAACGGGCGGATAATTAAATTATTAAGTTGTTAGCAACACGGATACTTAATTAACGGACGGATGCATAATATAGCAGCGCGGATACTTTAATTAATAATGGGCGGATACTTTAATTATTAAGTTGTTAACAGCACGGATACTTAATTAACGGGCGGATGCATAATATAGCAGCGTGGATACTTTAATTAATAACGGGCGGATACTTAAACTAATAAAGTATCCGGTTAAGTTGAATTGGGGGAAAATAAGGGATTTTTGTATTTTAGTAAAAGAGTAGGGAAATATTGAGAATATGTAAAGAAGTGTTGTGTATTTAAGTAATTTTTCCTATTTTTTAAGCCCATAAGTTAAAAATTGGCTTTAGTATCTAGGCCTTTTTACATAAATGTACCTCCCAACATAATAGTTTTCACGGCATATAGATAATTTATTTGAGATCGAGCTTTACGTAAGATAGAAAAATTTACAATTCTTATGGATCGATCAATTGTGAATCTTATCGTATCTTAACATACCAAAAATTAAGAAGTACGTATACCATCGAAGTCTAAATCATAACATACCCAAAATAATAGGTAAACATTTCAAAAAGTTAGTATTACATCAAAAATAAAATGGACAACTAATAATAAACCAACCAATAAATTTTACTTACAACAAACAAATATTCTATTTTTATCTTAATGACCATATTAAGTAAAATTGATAACGTGTTTACTTGTTCAAGTGGTTCATCAACCAGTCGTGTATCATTTTATAATATTTTCTCTAATCTATAACTTAGTTTAAAACCTACAAGTAAACCATAATTTATTGGACATCGAGTGAATACCTACATGTTATGTTATTTTATTTTATTGAGTGTTTGTAGCACTAATGATCCTTGAGTTATTAAATTGTGCAATTTCTATTCAATTGTTTGAAAAAAATTATCAGAACTATAAATAATTAAGGTAAAAATTATTCTATTATAAACGTATTATGATTATTGATTATGGAAATATTTATGTGTTATGTTAAGTTTATATTGTTACTTCATATCTGACACACTAAAGTTCTATAACAATTAAATACAACATAGACTCTGCATAAAAGGACCAAAAAACATATATTTTGATTGATTAAAAATTAAATATATGAAATTATATATCATACGAACTCAAAAATATAATTTAGTAATAACTTAAGTATCAAAAAGACTATCATCCCTTTTGTTTTAACCACTCGATATATATATCAAGATGCATGAAATTCTTTCAAATTTTATTCATAACAAAAATTTCATATTCAAATTACATATGTGAATTACTAAATTTATGCTCCTAAATTCTGAAATCGGAGAAATTACTTACGTAGATTTTTTTTGCACATCACAATGTAAAATAAGTCAAACCAGTAAATTCCAAATATCATATACTATTAGTTAAATTTTATAAATAATAACTTTTCTAGTAGGCAAACAACCTTAAAGAAGAGGTTAGTTAGTTGGTGAGCAACTATTGAAATTGAACACATAAAACAAAAACACATCCCACTATTATTGAGAAATTAAATCTTATGATATAATTTCCTTAAAAAACACAAGCAAAGCCACTCTTTTAATGACAAATGGATAGTCCTAATCAGCATAAGATATAATAAGATAGAGACTTTCTTTATCTTCTTTTGATTTATGTAAGTGATATAGTTAAGTAAAGCAGAATTTAGTATTCATCTAATCACAAAGCATACAATAAAAAAAAAAAAACTTAATGAGCAAGTTAACTATATGTTTAGTATTTTCATCCTACTCATGTGTAACTAAGCACACTAATAAGTGTTGTTATAATTCATTGCACGTTTATTAGGAAAATTAATAAATGTAAGATATAATTTACTAATTAAGTTATCCTATTTAGTAGATTACTTTCTCTATTTCAAAATAGTTGTCACGTTTTGTATTTTGAAAGTCATTATACTATTTTTAAAACTAAATTAGATTAGATTAATTTGATATTTTAAAATTGAAATTTTTAAATCTTCAAGATGGCCACTCTTTTTATGACTAATGTTCTGTCCATGTTGGCAATTGCATCATAAGATAAAAGTATTATCTTTATATTCTTTTGATATATATAGTGTGTGTGTGTGTGTGTGTGTAAGTGCTATATTTAAGTAAATTAAAATTATGCATTCAATATCTACTCACAAAGCATACAATTTGACTATATTTTTGTTTTCATCAGCAACCTTTTCTTATTCAGTGCTACAATAATATCCTACCTATATGTTGAAAAAAATCATACTAAACAAATACTTCCGCTATTTTAGAATAAGTGTTATTTTAACTGATTTCATGTTTATTAAAAAAAAAGTATAAGCTATAATTTATTGAGTTATTCATATTTAGTAGATGTTTTTTTAAGAATTGAGCAATATTAACTAGGACTGTTTTTTAATACGAGGGTATAATTGGTAACAATTTCCTGTAGTCTATATTAATTGAATTATTGAGAATTTTTTTTATAGTTCAAAATATATAAATTTTTCAAAGTTTGAGAAATTGTTCAACCTTTTTCATATTTACCCTTTCTTTTAATAAAAGTCTTAATTATTTAATTGATTTAGACATCAATAATCAATAAATCGCTAAATTGATTAAGATATTATCATTATTTAATTTTTAAAAATGTGGTGTGAAAAATATTAAACTTGCAGTCCATTGTTTAAAAAATTGACTCACTGTTCAAAATAAATAAATTTTTCAAAGTTTGAGAAAGTGTTCAACTTTTTTCATATTTACCCTTTCTTTTAATAAAAGTCTTAATTATTTAATTGATTTAGACATCAATAATCAATAAATCGCTAATTGATTGAGATATCATCATTATTTAATTTTTAAAAATGTGGTGTGAAAAATATTAAACTTGCAGTCCATTGTTTAAAAAATTGACTCACTGTTTGTATTTGTCTGAATTAGGACAGCCGACCAAATGAACCTTTGCGAAAGAACAAACGCAGAAAGAGTAAAAATTACGCGAATACATATCTTATTTTATCATAATTTTTAAAATTCTCTATTATTTTAAAAAAATTACAAAATTTTCTGTCAAATACATCCTTATCCAGTTATCCTCTCTTTGATACATCTTTATCCCTCTCGTATACATCTCTATTCCCTATCGAATACATCCCTCTCATTAAGTAATATATCTTTCGCAATCCGTGAGCTATGTGTCTGTAGATTTCTGATGCATCCGAGATCATATAATTTTAAGGAATTTTGTAATTTGAGAAAAAAAAAAGAATGTAATTAGCTTTTACCACTATATAATTTGTGTAATTTTTTCAAATAAGAAATACATAGTACTGCTCTGTCTCATATTAATTGTTAATACTACTAAAACTATTTATTCTAAATATATTTATCCATTTATAAAATTATGATAGAATTAATTAACTTATTTTTAAATATAATAATTTTTAAGAATAAACAATATTGATTATATTAAAAACAAATTAATATAATTATTTTTTATTTAGAATTTCTTAAATAATGTTTTGAAAGAAAAATATGATAAT